AAACTTCTTGCAGTCCATATTATTGCGTTAGATTCAGGGTGTACCACGAAACATGATCATCATTTCCGAAATGTGGTCTGTCTTTTTGTGCTTTCGATATTACCGGAGATTCAGATTTCAACTTATTAAATAAAACCTTTTTACAAACATTTTTGGTTGCTTGTAGATCTAAACTGTTTATATATTTGCTAAATCCTTAGCTTTCCCGTTAAAAGACTAGATATTCAAGTCATAACGCCAAATTATAAATTATAAGATTTTTTAGAACTGATGAATTACGATGCATTTATAAACCGGTTTGAAAACTTTTCTATGTCTCCTATTGAACAAAAGTAAAATATGTTTGCGAATAAATGCCGCGGTAATGTTTTTGTAGATAAAGACGACCTTCTTTTATTCAATTGAAGCTCAGAGTACATAAGGTGCAGAATGTCTAATATTTCTCCTTTTACAGTTTCTGTAAAGATTATAAAGTTGACTCTTTTCCCGGCATAAAATCATATTGAATACAAACTGTTGATCCCCCCTCCCTTGAAAGCCATTAACTACCCTCCCCCTCCCTCCCCCCTCAGGAGCCATTAACCTAGCCTCTATCAAATTCTCCTCCCCTAACGTAATGTAGTAAAATGGAACCTAGTTCCCCCATGAAAAGAAGAATCACATAATGGATATAAACACTTTACTCTTTATACAGTCTACAGGTTCTTATTGGCTGACTATATACTCAAGTTTCCATATAAGTGTATTTTGTGTTTTTTTCTGGATATTATTGATTAACAATAGATGGAGAAGAATGCGTATTAACCCTAACCCGATTGGGCTTATATAGGTTTTGGGCGGGGGGGGGGGGAGGATTCCCATATATTTGCCATGAGTTGAAATATCACTATTCCAACTTTTTAAGGCCTCACGCAAATCTGCATCTTTAGTAGAAGTAAATTCAACCTACATGAAGCATAGAGTCTGACCGCGTCAACCTTGTTGCACCGTCAAGTCCTGTCCATAGAGCTAGGCACAGTACAATCTGGAACTGGAAAGGTTGACCCGGCTCGTAATCAAATGTACTTCGGCTGCCCGTGGCCTACTCATTTTGGAAATAGCTTCATTACATTTTTTTTCAAGGATTTTCAAAAAATTAAATTTCGGATCTGAGGCTTAAACAATAAAAAAATCAACCGGCTTTTTGACCGTCCTATACCCTGATATGGATGTATACATCACCCTCCACTAAACGCTACTATGATAAAAAAATAAAATTATACATTAGATATTGAATTAATAAAGGTAGGCTGGCTTTATTTTTTAAGGTACTAGTACAAACGTCGGACCCACAAACATCGGACAATACAAAGGTCGGTCAGTACAAATGTTGGACTTACAAACGTCGGACTGGTACAAATGTAGAACTGGTACAAACGTCGGACTGGTACAAACGTCAGACTATACCACACACTTGGAACCAATACAAACGTCGGACGTGTACAATTATAAGGAAAAACGTTGAACTTAGGTTGTAAGAAATAAATTAAAAATCACTAAATTTTTATGATAAAAATCAAAGAAAACTGAATAAAGTCTTAACTTTTGAAGGTACCACATCAACAACTGAACAAAAGGAACTGTGGCAAAAACACAGTTCCTTTTGGTAGATTTTAATTAGACCATTTGATAAAAAAATCAGAGCTAAAATTGAACTACATATTGTCCTCAGACTTTGTGAAATTGTGAATTTTGAAAAGAGGAAATAAAGGATTTAAAAAAAATATTTTAAAATTTAAATAAAATTTTCTCTTAGTCCAACATTTGTACTGGTCTGACGTTTGTACTGGTCCAACGTTTGTACTGTCCGTCGTTTGTACCAGTCTGACGTTTGTATTGGTCCGACGTTTGTGGGTCCGACTTTTGTACTGGTACCTTATTTTATTGAACACAAAGAATTGAACTTCCACCAAATCTATCTTTCGTTTGGCATATTTTTACATTATTAAGAAATAGAGAAGAAGGGGGAAATCGGAATAGGGCGGGGGAATCTTGGAGTTTTGAGAGTGGATTGATGAAAAGTGTCAGATAAAGGGGAAACCTCTATACATATATAAAGAGGGAATCCATAATTCACCAAAACATAAACAAACCATTAAATATTTTTAGCTGGATTAGGATATTTACAACCTTCCAACATTTTTAATAATTTCTATCGTCTTTAAGATAAAGGGACTATAAGCATAATTTCAATTGACCATACATGCAAAGTTGGAATTACCCGATTCACAACGGTACCCTTGAAACCCTGATCTGATCAATGGAAGATAATGTCGTGATTTTAGACTGAAAAATTTAACTTTTTGATTTTTACAAAACCGTGGAGTTTGGACCAGAGGTTTTAATGTGGTGGTTGAGACTCGTAGACGTTGTTAAACAACATCTCTAGTTCGCTGTTCATGCTGAAGGAATTTTATTAAATGTTGTATTACTTTTTTGAGTCTCACTGTATGTCTGTGTATGAATAGAGTTTGATCAGGACAAGACTCTTCCTCTCTTCTTCTTTCCCTGTCTTTGGATTGAGAGAAGAATAATAATGAGACGAGTATGATTTTCCAGACTTAACGGAGAACTTGGAGGAAAAAGGGGGAACCTAAACTTGAACCTAAACCTGGATAGAAGAAGAGAAACATGAAACTGAACCTGGATATAGGAAGAGAACTATGAACCAAAACCTGGATATAGGAAGAGAAGCATGAACCTGAACCTGAACCTGAATATAGGAGTAGTAGCATTAAAATAAACCTGGATTTAGGAAGAGAACTATGAAAATACACCTAAATATAGAAAGAGAAACATGTACCTAAACCTGGGTTTAGGAAGATAAACATAAACCCAAACATGGATACAGGCAGAGAAGTATTAACCTGAACCTGGATATAGAAAGAGAAGCTTGAACCTAAACCTGGATATAGGAGGAGAAACATGAACCTAAACCTGGATATAGGAGGATTAACATGAACCTAAACCTGGATATAGGAGGAGAAACATGAATCTAAACCTGGATATAGGAGGAGAAACATGAACCTAAACCTGGATATAGGAAGGGAAGCATGAACCAAAACCTGGATATAGGAGTAGGAACGTGAACCTAAACCTGAATATAGGAAGAGAAGCATGAACCTACACCTGGATATAGGAAGAGAAGCATGAACCTACACCTGGATATAGGAAGAGAAACATGAACCTAAGCCTGGATATAGGAAGAGAAACATGAACCTACACCTGGATATAGGAAGAGAAACATGAACCTAAACCTGGATATAGGAAGAGGAACATGAACCTAAACCTGGATATAGGGAGAGAAACATGAACCTAAACCTGGATATAGGAGGAGAAATATAAACCTAAACCTGGATATAGGAAGAGAAATATAAACCTAAACCTGGATATAGGAAGAGAAACATTAACCTTCACCTGGATATAGGAAGAGAAGCATGAACCTAAACTTGGATATAGGAAGAGTAACATATGAACCTAAACCTGGATATAGAAGGAGAAACATTAACCTGAACCTTGATATTTGAAGAAAACTATGAATCTGCAACCTGGTACAGGAAGAGAAACATTAAGAGATACTATTCTGAACCAGGAGAAAGAAGGGAAGCCTAAACTTTAGCAAGGAAGATAATATGATCCTGTACCTAAACAGAGAAGAGGAACCTAATCCTTGGTATGGGAGAAGGGAGAAGGGAGGGGCGGGTCTGAACCTGTAGCTGGAGATAGAAATAGAATAATAATGATTTGAGACTCAGTCATTGATAAATATAAAATATTTTTCAATCAAAAGATAATATTCTTCTCTCACAATACAGATAATGGAAGAGAAGAATATAGAATTCAACACTATTACAGATTAAAGAGACTGTTTTCGATTTATCTAAACTCAAACTTTGTATTTATTTCTTGAGAATGACTACTATCAAAATCCTTCCAAAGAAAATAAGTCTTTGCCGAAAACTCTATTTTTCTAATTTCTTTTTTCTTGCAACCCATGACGTCGTAGACCTTAAATTCTGTAAGATTAAATAATCCAAATTTGAAATATCTAAGAGGAAAAGCATATAGGGATTAAAAATTTGAGTTTGTGGCAATGACTTAAATCTTTTACTTCTTAGATTAATATTATTGCCACATAAATCATATTTTGCTAACCCTGTTCTCATAAATCATATTTTGTTAACCCTGTAATCATAAATCATATTTTGGTATTTTGTTAACCCTGTTATCATAAATCATATTTTGTTAACCCTGTTATCATAAATCAAATTTCGGTAACCCTGTAATCATAAATCATATTTTGGTAGCCCTGTTATCAGAAATCATATTTTGTTAACCCTGTTATCATAAATCATATTTTGTTAACCCTGTTATCATAAGTCATATTTTTTTGTTAACCCTGTTATCATAAATCATATTTTTTTTTGTTAACACTGTTATCATGAATCATATTTTGTTAACCCTGATATCATAAATCATATTTTGTTAACCCTGATATCTTAAATCATATTTTGTAAACCCTGTTATCATAAATCATATTTTGTTAACCTTGTTATCATAAATCATATTTTGTTAACCCTATTATCATAAATCATATTTTGTTAACCCTGTTCTCATAAATCATATTTTGTTAACCCTGTTCTCATAAATCATATTTTGTTAACCCTGTTCTCATAAATCATATTTTGTTAACCTTGTTATCATAAATCATATTTTGTTAACCCTATTATCATAAATCATATTTTGTTAACCCTGTTATCATAAGTCATATTTTTTTGTTAACCCTGTTATCATAAATCATATTTTTTTTGTTAACACTGTTATCATAAATCATATCTTGTTAACCCTGTAATCATAAATCATATCTTGTTAACCCTGTTATCGTAAATCATATCTTGTTAACCCTGTTATCATAAATCATATCTTGTTAACCCTGTTATAATAACACTAAAAAACTAATATTCGACCTATTGCATTTATTGTATTTTCTGTTTTCATGGAATACTACAAGATAAACATCCTAGTACTCATCTCCTCCCTCCTCTCCTTCGGCTTCAAGGGAATCTATTCCAACCTCCTCGTAATCCTTCTCAAGAGCAGCAAGATCCTCTCTCGCCTCACTAAATTCTCCCTCCTCCATACCCTCACCAACATACCTTAAACAAATTATCTTAAAATTCTAATTTTTTAAAAAGCATTTTAGAAAAACTATTTTTTTCTTCTTACCAGTGAACGAATGCTCTCTTTGCGTACATGAGATCAAACTTGTGATCCAGTCTTGCCCAGGCTTCAGCAATAGCTGTAGTATTGGAGAGCATACAGACACATCTTGGAACCTTAGCAAGATCTCCACCAGGAACTACAGTTGGGGGCTGATAGTTGATCCCAACTTTGAACCCTGTAGGACACCAATCCACAAACTGGATTGTACGCTTCGTCTTGATGTTCGCAATGGCTGCATTCACATCTTTTGGTACAACATCGCCCCTGTACAGCATACAGCAGGCCATGTACTTACCATGCCGGGGATCACATTTAACCATCTGGTTTGCAGGTTCGAAGCAAGCGTTGGTGATCTCTCCTACTGTCAGCTGTTCATGGTAAGCTTTCTCAGCGGATATAACTGGAGCGTATACAGCCAGAGGAAAATGGATTCTTAAATAAAATATTTTATTTATTAACTAATAGAATTAAACATTTTTAGAGAGTTTAAAGTGACATTCAAGTACCCATTCAGATAAAGAGGGTCTGGATCGATTCACAATGATGCCCTTTGAACCTTTTCCTTTTCAATAATGAGGAAGATACATTCGTTTTTCTGATTTAAAAGGTTTCACTTCATTGTTTCAATACCATAAATGCGCAAGTCTCTTACAGTAGATAAAAACCACAAATAGGAATAATACATTTTCCATTAGCGAAACATAGATATCTCATTCGTTCTAGATCAGACAAAGCTTTCGAGGGTACTGTTGTGAATCTATATAGTAAATCTGCATATGCATATACAGAGGTTCTTCTGAAATTACGTTTACAGTCTCTTTAAGAGAAAAAGTATGAATTTTTTAAAAGATCAAACCTTGGGTATGGAACCAGATTAGTTTGAAACTCCGTGAGATCAACGTTGAGAGCTCCGTCAAACCTCAGAGATGCAGTGATCGACGACACGATCTGCCCGATCAATCGGTTCAGGTTGGTGTAGGTTGGCCGCTCAATGTCTAGGTTCCTGCGGCAGATATCGTAGATGGCCTCGTTATCGACCATGAAGGCGCAGTCGGAGTGCTCCAGGGTGGTGTGGGTAGTCAGGATAGAGTTGTACGGTTCTACCACAGCTGTTGCAACCTGTACAGTACATGATGATTATAGAAATCGAAAATAATTAAAATTTAAGTTTAGTTGAACGGTGTTAGGTACTTTCCCAAAGGCATATTCCTTAGGGCGACTTCCCAAGTGACAACTTCCCAAATGTGAAATTTCCCAAGCGGCAACTTCCCAAAGGGTAGGTTAGGCCCTCTGAGCCGCTTCAGGATTCAATGGGGGGCCGAGCGCTGCGGCTAGGACGGACTAGGGAGCCGAGCGCCGCGGCTAGAACATTCTCTGGGCCGAGCACTGTGGCTAGGACAGATTTGGGAAGTTGCCGCTTGGGAAATTGCACATTCGGGAAGTTGCCGCTTGGGAAAAACCTTTGGAAAAGTAGCTCATATCAATTAAACTACTTCTCTATCGTTCATTAATTTCCAACTTAGTTTAATAATATTGTCTAAGAGCATCAACTTTTTATTTTAAGTACATATCATTCCAAACCCAACACGTCAGAGACAATTACGTACGTATTATGAGCTTCTATAATGTTCAACGGAAATATATACTATTTTTAATAAATGTCTCCACAATAAATTTCGTGTGGATAAAAGTATTGAAGCATTTAAAGTATAATTAAAATCGTAAGTTTTCCTTGTTTAATAAATATGATATATTTTATTTTCTGTCGTGTGTCCATATTGTCTTTATTGATATAAAAGAGACGGGTACAGATTTAATAAAAGTCAGGATGTCTTGTCAAATTCAATTTTAAATTCAATATTGTTAAATTCTTCCGACAACATTTATTCAATTCTAAACTAGAGGGTGGACTGTGTAAAAAGAGAGAAGGACTGAACTTATTTTATTTGTCAAAACTCGCATCGGAACGATATATGTTGATTATTAACGATGGTTAAATGAATTTGGTCTTTCCCACAAACCCTGATTTTCTAATTCCTATATATGTACAAAAAAATGTCTTAGACCTCAGAAATACTTCAGACGATTAAATTTGTTAGATCAAATAATTAAAGGTTTACAAGATGAGGTTGCAAAGATACAGGGATTTTGAGTTTTTGGCAAATACACTATTCTGTTAGCTTCAAAAGGCTCGGAAACATCCTAGTTTTGAGTTCCATTCTTAAATGTCACTCATTTAAACATGTCTGTTCATCTTTCTTAACTTACAATCCCTCCAATCTTTAGATCAACTATTTAAGTGAAATTTGATTTTGCACCCTACACAAATGCTGTGTTTTATGTTCATTAAACTATTGTAAATTAAGAAAAAGTTAGACCTCGTCTCAAATGATATAGACATTAATTTTCTAATGCCAAGTAGTTTGAATCTGGAAACCTTAGTCAGCAATTCGTCTTTTATCAGCTCCTTGTTAATTTTCCTGTGAGATTACTGTAAAAAGAAGAAGCTAATTACGACAAAAAGATGGAGTGAGGACCCATTTGGATTAAGAAAAGAATAAGAGGAAATCCTTTTGTCTAAATTATTTATCTGCCTTACAGGGACTGTAAGCGTAATTTTATATGACCCTCCCTGCAAATATGGCAATGCCCGATTCACAACGGTACGCTTGAAACCTTCATGTGATCAACATTGTGAAGAATATTGTCTTTTTATCTAGGTTTAAAAGTGTTTAATTCGGATCAATTATATCTTAGCATAGGGAGTCACTTTCAATTACGCTTACAGTCCCTTTAATCCGGAATACCTAAGAATTTTCGCATAAATGAGAATTTAGGAACTTTAATGAATCGATCCGAAACAATTACCCAATAGGCCTAACTGCTACTTCAAAATGAAGGTCTGTATAAAAAGAAGAGAGGAGAAAGGGGCAGTGTACTAACCTGTGGTGCAGGGTATATAGAGAACTCAAGTTTAGATTTCTTTCCATAGTCTACTGAGAGCCGTTCCATGAGAAGAGAAGTGAACCCTGATCCAGTTCCTCCTCCGAATGAATGAAAGATGAGGAACCCCTGAAGCCCTGTGCACATATCCGCTAGTTTCCGAACCCGATCTAGAACCAGATCAACGATCTCCTTCCCGATGGTGTAGTGCCCCCTCGCGTAGTTGTTGGCGGCGTCCTCTTTCCCTGTAATCAGCTGCTCGGGATGGAACAGCTGACGGTATGTTCCAGTTCGAACCTCGTCTACAAAAAGTTAATGGTTTCAGTCCTTTCTCCGGGTCCTAATATTGATACTGAAAAGGTGTTTTATCTCTCCTCTCCTTTTCTATGGTAGACTATACTTTATATCATTTATATCCACTCTCCTACCTCTCTCCGGACTAGTTATTTTCTAAATACAGCCCCAGTCTCACAAGAAATATTGTAAAAACTTTCAATTCTCTCTTCACTCTTTCCCTCTAGGATCTTCTCACCAACCTAACCTAGTATCTTCCATCCTCTCCTCCTATAATCCACATTTTTGTACTTTGCCAAGTTTAAAAAAAGGAAAATCTGCCAAAAAGTTAAATTGTAAATTGCAAAACATGTTACATTTCTAGTCCTGCTATGGGACTGAGTTTTTGCCACAAACTCAAACTTTCTAATCAATTTCATAAACATTCCGTTTGATCAAATAATGTAAGTTTGAAATATAAAAAGGTGTACACTTTCAAGTTACAAAGATATAGGGTTTAGCAAATTATGAGTTTGTGGAAAAGACTCAATTCCTTTCCTCTATCTAAACCAGCACTAGCCCCCCCCCTTCTTTTCCTAAATCCCTCTTTCTAGAATATATATCTCCGAACCCCCTCATCCCCTATCTATTCCTCCGCATTCTTACTTTGAATTAAATAAAGATTGGTGCCAGAGGGTTCATCAAAATAAATCTTTATTACAAATTGAATTTCAGAGTTTCAAACGGATGCGGAGCAGAGGAAAGAGGGGATCGGAGAGAAGGGAGGGATTGGATGAGGGATGGAGTAGGATTGGATGAGGGATGGAGTAGGATTGGATGAGGAATCGAGTAGATAGGATGAGAAAAGGAGTAGGATTGGCTAAGAGGAAGGAGTAGGAATTGGATAATCAGGAAGAGAAGGGGATAAGCTTGAAGTCCGAAGGGTAATATGGCGATTTGATCAGGGGGTGGAGGTTAAAGAGAAAATATATGTTGAAAAGAGTTGTATAAATAGTAGAATAAATAGTAGGATAAATAGTAGGATAAATAGTAGGATAAATAGTAGGATAAATAGTAGGATAAATAGTAGGATAAATAGTAGGATAAATAGTAGGATAAATAGTATGATAAATAGTAGGATAAATAGTAGGATAAATAGTATGATAAATAGTAGGATAAATAGTAGGATAAATAGTATGATAAATAGTATGATAAATAGTATGATAAATAGTAGGATAAATAGTAAAATAAATAAGGAAATAAAAGGTCTAAAGAATACGAAAAGAACTTTTGATTAAATTGATAAAAAAACGTAAAAAATTTAGGACACGAAAAGAATGGGCATCAAATAGTAATAAGGAAGATTGGGTTTGAGAAGGAAAGGATAAGAATGAACAAAAAAAGAAAAGTAGCTGTAAGAAATGAATAAGAAGAGGTCCATCCTCCCCCCTCCAATATCTAAAAATCTGACACGATTTTAGAAACATCTTAAACTAAATTGAATTGAAAGGATGAACATTAGACCCTGAGCAGATCCAATGTTATCCCTCCAGGATACAAATAGTCTTATCTAGCTCCAGGGGGTGCAGTTCTCATTTTATCTAATTAATCTACAGTATTTCAGGACAAAATACACAGAAAGAGCCCCCCCCCCCTCCGCGCGCGGGGGGGGGGGGGGGGGGGGGGGGGGGGAGGATTTTATTAGNGGGGGGGGTTAAATAATTTTCGACAAACCTACAACAGTCGGCTCAAGATCTACAAAAACAGCTCTTGGAACATGTTTCCCGGCTCCGGTCTCAGAGAAGAACGTATTGAAGGAGTCGTCTCCGGCTCCGATAGTTTTATCAGAGGGCATCTGTCCATCCGGCTGGATTCCTTTATAAAAACACAAAAACGTTATTTAATTGTTGAAACTTTGCAAACACGACAGTATTGAAAATTTAATTGCTTTTTCAATCTGGGAAAATCTAGATTGAAAAATTTCACAAATGGGTGAATTCAATTCCGATTCATGCTAGAGCGGGGTTGAATAATTAAAACCCGGAGGGGGATAACCGACTAAAACCGTCCTAAACACTCAGTCTAATTCCTATTAAATCAAAAAACGTTCCCAAATCAATGTTTAAATCAGAAAGGAATTCTTTTTCTCATCTTTTGTGATTCTTGAGAGAAATTTTATAATTTTGAACTCCAAAATGATTTTTTGAAAATTAAAATGTAATGTACTCCTACCATGTTCGAGACAGTACAACTCCCAGCAAGCATTACCAATCTGTACTCCAGCTTGTCCAATATGTACTGAGATACACTCACGCTGTAAAATAAATAAAATCAGTAATTTTCATATTTATAGATTAATTAGGGGTCATATCTCGGTGATGTCTGACAATAAATTCTGGGGTTGCCATCAAAGAATGCCTAATGTAGCATTATGAAAGTTTTTGTTCATTAAGTATACTTTTATGTAAAGGAATTGCTTTTTTGTCACAAACTCAAATTTTTTAAACCTAATGTCAAAGAGCTTTGATATTTCAAACAGTAAATTCTTTTAACTAAAATAATTTGAAATATCAAAGGTTTTAATAAAAGGTTGCAAAGATATAGGGATTAGAACAGTTGTGTTTGTGGCAAAGACTCAATGTCTCTAAATTTATAAAGTGTAATTTTGAAAAATATTTTATTTGGTGAAAAATATATAAATAAATCTCTATCACTAGCTATGAGGGTGAAAAAATAAAACTAGAACTGTTTTCCAAAAAAAGTACGAGATCATCTTATTGTTATATTTTCTAAATGAACTATAATTTAATTTCGCATTTTATTTGATCTACCAAGAGAAACCCATAGGTATTTCATTGAGCCCATTTCTAATGTTCCTCATATTAAAACAGTTTTATGCACTCGTTTTGTACAATTTGTGACCAGTTCATCAAATTGTCATAAGGTATGTATTCGACTTATAGTAGATCTAAGTAAACAGGATTTAAGAACTGTTTTATGTAAAAATCTTGAATCTATTGCACAAGATTGTAATGTACAATCTAGAAATCTAAACAAATTTTGCGTGAAACAAAATATGATATACAATCATATTCCTTTAGACCAAGAATGGAAATTACCCATTCTTCATGAATTACTCAAAGTTAAAGAAGATAATTTTGTTCTGAACAACTTTAATGACAATGAGATTGCAACCGTGATCAACTTTTTATGTTCCGACTAGAAACTATATTTATATATTATACTTTATTCTTGTTTTTGTCTTATCATATTGTACCATTTTACCTTTGTGTACGAATAAATCTATAATCTATAATTACTCTCCTCATACCCAATATTTTAATTCGTAGACCTTTGATACTTCAAACCTTGAATTCTGCTAGAGTCAAAATTAAAATGGCCATAGGCTTACAAGTCAGGTTGCAAAGATAAGCTCCATATTTTTTTTTATTTTTTTACACCAATACCGTACTTAGTACCGATATGATAAATAAAGATTATGGAAACCCATTCATCTAAACCATACCCGCTTATCCTTCCTCTTCTTATACAGTTCTTTAGCCTTATCCATCATACTCCTAGGATATATCTACATCTTTTACTTCATGTTTCATCTATCTTTCTATATATATATATATACTACAATATCTATCTTTCTATGTATACATACTTAAACTATAATATCCTTATATATGAAGTAATAAGCTTTGTTTGAATTTGTTTGTTTGTATGATCGATCATAACTCTTTAACCCCCTTGACTACATGAACAAGGTAGAACATACCGTTCATGGTTTCGTTCAAAAATTCCAAGTTACCTTAAACTAAAATTTCGTTGGATACTGAGGGATCTGCAGTACACTGACCACACTGTACTGCAGTGATCTGCAGTACACTGACCACACTGTACTGCAGTAATCTGCAGAACACTAACCACACTGTACTATCTGCAGTACACTGACTACACTGTACTGCACTGCAGTGATCTGTAGTACACTGACCACACTGACCGATATATTTTTTAATGCGGAGAATGAATTGAACAGCTTTTATATGGATAAAAAATTTTCCGGAAAAACTGGATTTCAAAGCTAGTTCGACATATATATACCTATTATATATATTTTCCGTCTTAAAATTTGATTTTATTCCATCTTTTTATATGTACTTAATGGGTTCGATTAATCTTTTTTATACACTGACCCAAAGTTCATCTGTGAATCTTTCTCTACTTTTACAACAAATTCTATTATCTCTAATTTGCTAATTATACTTAAAGTTTTAATAATATTTCTCTACTTATACACCAAATTCTATTATCTCTAATTTTCTAATTATACTTAAAGTTCTAATAATATTTCTCTACTTATACACCAAATTCTAATATCTCTAATTTTCTAATTATACTTAAAGTTTTAATAATATTTCTCTACTTATACACCAAATTCTATTATCTCTAATTTTGTAATTATACTTAAAGTTTTAATAATATTTCTCTATTTGTACACCAAATTCTAATATCTCTAATTTTCTAACTATACTTAAAGTTCTAATAATATTTCTCTACTTATACTTTAAATTTTAACATCTCTTATTTTTCTAAAAAGACTCAAAATTATATTAATCTTTCTTTACTTATATGTGACAAATTCTAATATCTCTTAATTTTATAAATACACTCAAAATTCTAACCATCTTTTTCTACGCATGAGCCAAATTCGAATATCTTTTATTTGTCAAATTAAATATAGCCAAAATTCTAAGAATATTAAGTCCAGATTAGATTTTTTCCCATGTATATTTTAAACCAGATATTCTAAAAATTAAAAAAAAACATTTTACTACAAACTTATCAGGTTTAAAAGAAATATAAAAATCAATTAATAAAATATTTCCTTTGTTTATCAGCCAAGTTGGATCATTTAACTTTTTTCACAAAATAAATGCAAGTTAGATCTTAGTTTGAACTTGATGAAGAAAGTTTGGAAGGTTCCAACTTTGTCTCATCTTTTCAGACTGGAGAAAGAAATATCGGAGAAGTTCGGTAATTTCTAAAGGAACAGTCCCCAAATCTTTATTATACAATTTTCATTTCAGTTGGAATATTTTAGTTGGAATCTCTTTAATTTTGCAGCTGATTTTTTTCTTTTCTATAAGATCCGAGTTAAATTTTTAAAAAAACTTTTCTTTTTTTACAATTTTTTTTGTTTTCATACCTTTGTTTGAATATGATTTTTATATACTGTTGCGATTTGCAAATACAACGTTAAGTTATGTAAAATCTGGCAAATATCTAAAGTTGTTTTTCTATCTTTTTAACTGTTCCAAATTAAATATGGTTATTTGAATCTTTTTCTTTTTATACTACTTTAAACTCTTATCTTTATTTTTTTTAAATTTTCTAGTTTTATTTTATTTTGTCGGAAAATGATATTTTTTTCTACATTACACGTGGACTTATATTTCAAGTGACCCTCCATTTATAGAGGGAAAAGTCCCATTCATATCGGTAGCCTTTGAAGAAAATAATCATCAAGTTTTTTTTGCCAAACCCGGGTTGCTTGTAAAGGAATTGAGTCTTTGACACAAACTCTGATTTTCTAATTCCTGTATCTCTGCAACCCAATGTCGTAGACCTTAGATATTTCAAACTATGAATTCTATTGCATCAAATTATCTTAGTTTGAAATATTAAAAGTCTACAACATCAAGTTCCATAGATATAGGGATTAGAAAATTTGAGTTTGTGACAAAAACTCAATTCCTTTGTGAGTGTGCATTTTACTTCTAAATAAGTGAACAATCTCTTTAATATATGATGTGTTGAAGGATTACCATGGTTTCAAGGTTTGATGTTGAGGAGAGGAGAGAAGAGAAGGTTGCAGGTTATGAAGGTGTAGATAAGGTATCACCACGCAACCGAATGGTTCAGGTTCGTCTTGGAGGAAAATTCATCAGTTTCTCCGGTACTCCGTCCTTAAAACCCATTGGCGGAGACAGGTTTAGGTCAGGGAGAAAACGGGTTTAGGATTGGTTGACTCCGGCCACGTGATTTTACTGGTCTGAATCAAGGTATTGATAAAACACTGTGAAGAGGGGATCTTGGGGATTCAAGCAGTCAGGCAATCATGAAAGCTTGCAACTCAGGCAGATTAAGGCCATACCCTATTTTCCTCTGCAACTTTTTCTTGTAATAAATCATGATATAGAACCGCATAACTGTATAATAACACAAATACCTAGAAATATACCCTGACACAACTTTATTCTTGAAAGATATTGGAAATTATATCAAATGCATAGATGCTACTTTACTGCCTAGATAAGGGCCTAATATTACTTTACTGCCTAGATAAGGGCCTAATACTACTTTACTGCATAGATAAGGGCCTAATACTACTTTACTGCATAGATAAGGGCCTAATACTACTTTACTGCCTAGATATGTGCCTAATACTTCTTTACTGCATAGATAAGGGCCTAATGCTACTTTACTGCCTAGATATGTGCCTAATACTACTTTACTGCCTAGATATGTGCCTAATACTACTTTACTGCCTAGATAAGGGCCTTATACTACTTTACTGCCTAGATATGTGTCTAATACTACTTTACTGCATAGATAAGGGCCTAATACTACTTTACTGCCTAGATAAGGGCCTAATACTACTTTACTGCCTAGATAAGGGCCTAATACTACTTTACTACCTAGATAAGGGCCTAATACTACTTTACTGCCTAGATAAGGGCCTAATACTACTTTACTGCCTAGATAAGGGCCTAATACTACTTTACTGCCTAGGTAAGGGCCTAATGATACTTTACTGCCTAGATAAGGGCCTAATGATACTTTACTGCCTAGATAAGGGCCTAATACTACTTTACTGCCTAGATAAGGGCCTAATACTACTTTACTGCCTAGGTAAGGGCCTAATGCTACTTTACTGCCTAGATAAGGGCCTAATGATACTTTACTGCCTAGATAAGGGCCTAATGCTACTTTACTGCCTAGATAAGGGCCTAATATTACAATCGCAAATCTTAGAAACAGAAACGATTTTCATATTCCTAGAATAAAATCTATTAAAATTGGACTGCTCCCCCCTCACAATTTCCCTAAAATATGGTATGAAAATAAACGACACTTTTCTAAGCTTTCAAATATCAATCTTACTTTTAATTTTAAACAGAATTTAATAGAAGATTTTTATCAGCAGAACAAATGTTTTAACACATGCTATGTTTGCAAAAGAATCGAAGAAACCAAAGAC